TAGGCCTCGACTGATCAGACCAACATTGATCTCTTTCTTCCCTTCTTTTTAAGCATGACTGTTACCATGTACATCACAGTGATCGGCATCATCATCATCACATGTCAGTATGCTTGGCCAACAATATTCCTTTTATTTCCACTTGCTTGGCTGAATTTCTGGTTCCGGGTATGGGCATTTATTTAACGTCACTGTATTTTTGGCAATATAATCTCTCTTCGACAACTAGCAATTATTCATGTACTGAAAATATAGCTATTTCCAAAATATGTTAAGGAAAATTAGTCAAACACTGAAATTTTCTATTGGAGAAAATGAAATTGGTTCCATGGTAGGAACAAATTGTGAAAGTTCTTGGAGATATCTTCAAATTTGAAAAACATTGGCATGGTGGACTTCCAATAGATCCCACAAATGACTCGCAGATTCATAACAATCATATTTGTTGTTTTAACGGGAATAAAAGCAAAAGCTAATAAATATGTATATGAGCAATGAAACTACAGATGAATTTATTGTAACCATTCCTGTTTCTTCTGGTTTCAGAGATACTACCTTGCAACATCTCATGAATTAACCCGACTCGATTCCATTACCAAAAGGCTTGTCATTCATCACTTCTCAGAAAGCATTTCTGGTGTTATGACAATTCACTGTTTCAGGAAGCAAGAAATATTTTGCCAGGATAATGTCAACAGGGTGAACGCAAATTTACGTATGGATTTTCACAATAATGGGTCCAACGAGTGGTTGGGCTTCCATTTGGAACTCATTGGAAGCTGCGTCCTCTGCATTTCTGCATTGTTTTTGATCTTGTTGCCTAGCAGTATCATTAGGCCAGGTAGTCCTCTACAATAATTGGATCATATGTGATGTTAATGAGTTGTTTCTTTGTTTTCCCCCCTTTTTTACACGGTTACTTGGTTCTCAAATGTGGGAAACTGACACGTACTGTATTGCCCAGAGAACGTTGGATTAACTCTCTCGTATGGTTTGTCCCTCAATGGCGTGTTATTTTGGGCTGTATATATGAGCTGCTTTGTGGAAAATAGAATGGTTTCTGTTGAGAGGGTAAAACAGTTCACAAATATTCCATCAGAAGCCGAATGGGAGAAAAAAGATTGCCTTCCCTCTGCTAATTGGCCTACCCACGGCAATGTTGTCCTCGAAGATTTGCAGGTAACTTGCCTTAAACCCGTTTTTGTGTCTAAATTGTTCTGGTAAGGCGTGCATGGTGTCAGGCAACACGAAATGGAGAAAAATTTCAGAAGATAACTAGGCTTTATGATGTCTACATGATATGATCTGAAATTTAGACAGACCACTTTGCCTTGATTTATAAATTAGTAGAATTTTTAAAAATAAAATGTCCTCAAGTGTGTCGTCAATGAACTTTGGATCTTTATTAGCATGACTTGAACTACAATAATATTCTGTTCTAATATTTTTTGGAACCCTTTCTGATAAGACATACTCGAACACTTGGTGAACAGGCTAGGTATCGTCCAAATACCCCTCTGGTTCTTAAAGGTATTACTCTCAATATTCAAGGAGGAGAGAAGATGGGTGTAGTTGGTCGAACAGGGAGTGGAAAATCGACTCTGATCCAGGTTTTCTTTAGGCTGGTTGAACCTTCAGGAGGGAGAATAATCATTGATGGCATTGACATTTCCATGCTAGGGCTTCATGATCTTAGGTCTCGCTTTGGGATCATTCCTCAAGAGCCTGTCCTTTTTGAAGGAACTGTCAGAAGCAACATTGATCCAATTGGGCTGTATTCAGATGAAGAGATATGGAAGGTACATTTTCCGTTCTTATTTCCTAAAATAAACCAGTTTGGGCTTTTTAAGGTCGGAAAAGAATAAAGTTTGCATCATGAACATCACTTCTTCTGTTGTGTTTCATTTTCTCGGTTCACAATTCAAGACCAAAGCGTACACAATTTGAGCTTTTCTTGTGCTTTCACTGATATGAAGAAACCAATTTTTATAGAGCCTCGACCGTTGTCAACTTAAAGATGTGGTTGCTGCAAAGCCTGGTAAACTTGATTCTTTAGGTAATATTCATACTTCATCGCTTCTTCACTAGGCTGCACCAAAACTTGCTTGATTTGGTGTTTCCCATTTAGTGAATGAAGGTAAACATTTTATTTCTTTTTGGAAATTTCTCAGTTGTTGATAACGGAGACAATTGGAGCGAGGGGCAGAGGCAACTTCTCTGCTTGGGAAGGGTAATGCTAAAGCACAGCCGGCTTTTGTTTATGGATGAGGCAACAGCTTCTGTCGATTCACAAACTGATGCTGTAATTCAGAAGATCATCCGAGAGGATTTTGCAGGCCGTACAATCATCAGCATTGCTCACAGAATACCAACAGGCATGGACTGTGACAGGGTTTTAGTTATAGATGCAGGTTAGTGTTTCTTTACCTTACTTTCCCCATCCTTCAAATGAAAAAAAAATTGGATTGCAAATTATCTGTGACTTAGCAAGACAAAGTGGATGTTCTCAGTGTTTGTGACCTCATTGATAAGTATTAGACACCAACTACTCAACAACCACAAATTTGGAATAAGGGCATTTTTGGTAATATCACACTAATGAACTATTGCCCTAATTCTCTCTCTGTCTCTCTTGTAAACTTCTTTATTATAATGAAACCTGAGTGACTGGATGTAGCCCTAGTTTTTGGAGTGAACCGCGTAAATCTCGCACTTGTTGTCCTAATTCTATGTATATGTAGTTGAGGGGAGGGAGGCAGCTATTTCCTCGACTCTCTTATAATTTTTTTGAGCTTAGTGAAGTCACAATGACCTTGGATGTAGCCATAGTTTTGGAGCGAATCACGTAACTTTTGTGATCTTATATGGCCATGTGCCTTTCTGTCATTTTGGTCAAAAGCCTTGAAACCTTATATTCTCCTAAGACTTCATTCTTGCATTTAAGCTCCATATTCTCTATGTTTTGGCTTATTTATTTATTTATTTTTGTTTTTATACATGAGTTTCATAGCTGATATCCCATTTCACTCTTTAACAGGTTGGGCAAAAGAGTTTGACAAACCATCTCACTTGCTAGAGAGGCCTTCACTATTCGGGGCACTGGCTCAGAAGTACGCTAACCGCTCATCTGGAATATGAGATAAACCATTTTGGTTTTTCCCAAAATTGCCTCTCGATTTAAATGCTGCCAATTTTGGAAATCTTCCTCAGAACGAGTCCGATTGCTTGTATTAAAATTTCATGCACTCTAGTGATGATATAAGGTATTCTTCATGGAAGATGGTATAGACATCCCATTTTATAGCATACTTGCTGGCAGTAAGTGATGCTATATAATACCAACCATTGTCAATATTTAATGAAATCAAACTTGTTTCATGTGTAATTTTTAAATTTTTTTCCCCCCCTTTGAAGCAAATGGTATGAGAATTTTGAATGAGATAGTTTTACTATACTGTCCTCGAATGCTTTCTATTAGTGAAAAGTAATTGGTAATAGTTTGCCACAAGCTCTTTTTTAACTTTTAGGTCTGATTTGGTTTGATGTCTATTTTGAAAATAGTTATTGGTTTGGTTTAGTTTGAAAATAAGTTTTCATTTCTTTCTTCCTCCCTCACCCTCTCCGATCACCACCCATTGCTCATCATTACCACCATATACCACCTTCTAGCCACTACTGCCAACAACCCCTTTTGATCGTTCATCTTTGACGACCACCTTCAACAAGTCTAGTACTAGTTCAACTATGTTGAATTGGCACACAAAAAAGGCAAGAAGAGAGAGTGCACGAGCACATGTACTCATGCATTGGAAAAGCACCAAACCTTGGGATCAACCAACTCATTAGATTTGGGGTCAATCCCTTCTTTCTCTTCCCCTCCCCGAATCAAAAAATAAAATAAGAAGGGAAAAATTCCAAAAAAGTAACATTTCTCATGAAATTTCCATTCAAGTTATCTTAACACATCGATCAATCCAGTCAACGCAAAATTAATAGGATTCTATTGAAATTTCATAAATTAAAAAGAAAATTACTTATTTGATATTTTTCCCAAAAAAAAACTAAAAAAAATGAGCTATTACAATCTTGTGCAGAGATTCAACAAAAATTCTAGTAACTGTGTGGTAAAATAAACCAAAGTACTCAAGCTCAACTTGTTAAAAGCTCGTTCGAGACTAGCTTTACAAAACAAATCCAATAACTTGAACTCACTCCTTACAAACTTGCTCAAGATCAATTTGTTAATTAAACAAGTCAAACTTACACACAGTTTAAAGCTCTTTTAATTTTTTGAATCAAGTTTGAACAAATTACTATTTGGTTCGACAAATTTATACGCATTATTATAAAAAAGTAAATTACTCAAACTGGACTCATTATCAACTCAATCTCATTTGAGACAAACTCATAATGTAAAAAAGTCAAACTTGAACCATATTTTAAAACTTATTAAGTTAAATAAGTCAAACTTAACAAATCAATACTCGGTTTTACTCAACTCATTTACAACCCAACCAACAATTTGGAGTTTTTTGTTCTCTCTCTCTTTCACTCTTATATATGTACAATATAGACATTTGTAACTCAACAATGAGATAAAAAGAAGAGCAAATTTTCATCTTTATAATTTGATTCAAATTTCACTTTGTTCCTTATTGTTTCAATTTGAACAATTGATTCCTACACTTTAAATTCGATTTTAATTTGATCTTTCCATCCGACAAGTGCCACAAAATTGTTAATTTTGACTTTTAGCTCGAACGAAAGAACCAAATTGAAAACTGACCTCAAAGTATAGACTAAATTATCAAATTTAAAACTATAAGGATCGAAGTAAAATTTAAGTAAAACTATAAGGATTGAAAATATAATTTACCCTAAAAAGATGTTAATAGTAAATGACAAAACAAATCTAATAATTTTGAGTATCTGACAATCATCATAAACAAAGTATGATAACAAGTGTCCATTTATTTATTTATTGTGAATCAATAAGAAAGTAAATATAAATATAAGAAATATTATATTAAATAGACCACTAGCCCAACAATAACTAGAAAGTCAACAATCACAAAACTTAACAATCAATCACCAAGCCCAAGCCCAAGCCCAAGCCTGATAACCACAATTGCTGCATACAACTCTCATAATAAGGAAGAAATAAAAGCTATCATAAGGATATCAAACTCCTCTCCATAGGAGTTGAATCCAATGAACACTACCACAAGTGTCCATTACACACTAGCAACATTGTGTTGAGTAAAGAACAAACATACATAGAGTGATGCAAAGCAGAACCTACTGAGAAAAGTGAGATTGATGAGAAAGAGCTGAGATGTTTTCAACTTCAATTGAGCTCCTTCCCTTCAAAAAATTGGAGTACCAATGTGCAGAGAGTTTAGGGTATCTTTTCAAATCTTTGTCATCCAAATCTACATAGTAGAGGCCAAAGCATGATCCATAGCCACCCAATAACTCATACACATCCAAGAAAGACCATGTGAAATACCCTCTTGCATTTGATCCATTCCTTCCATATTGTCAAATTCAAAGAAGAAAACAAACAACAGTACAAAATAACCATATCAATGAAATGAAACCCAATATTATTTAAAGGGTTATTTACACCAAGACCCCCTATCAATTGTTACTACCAATTTACTATCAATTGGTAATGCAACATCCAAATATACCCTTCTCTTTTACCACTATAGTGTTCATAGTCTTCAACATTCTTATTTATCCGTTTTGGTTTTCTTCATTTATTGTTCCATTCATAAAGCTTCCAATAAGCCAAAAGCCATTGGATTTAGCAAAGAAAAAGGCGAGTCGGATGCTACATATTTTATCCAAGAGGTTAATCTAACAACTAACAATTGACTTTCATTTATAAAAAAATAAAAACAACAGAAGAATTAGACAGATACCTCACAGCATCAAGCAAACTCCCAATGAAACCATGCAAATATTTCACTCTTGCACTGTCATGTAATGTTGAATTCCGTTGTGTTTGCTGACCTGTCAAAAACAAGTTTTAGGAGTTTCAACAATTAGGGGAGAGAGAGAGAGAGAGAGAGAGACCGTCTTCATGGCTGTAAATAGAAGGGTTGCCATAAAATTGTTTGAAATACTCCAAAACTCCAAGCAGACCAGAGGGTGTGATTGGGAACTGAATCAAAGAAACTGATTAATTAGTATAATTAATAATAATAAAAAAACCAAGAAGTAAAAAACCAACTTTGTGAAATTATTTTTTAGCCCCTTACCTCATCTGGTGGTGTATCATTAGACACAGCTGAAAACAATCCAAGAACTTATGAGATATATCATATCCATCAAATAAATTTTTTACCCATCAAAAAATTGAATAATTTCACTCAAAAGAATACCATGGCTCATCCGAGTTGAAGAAAAACATAATATGCAATTAAATTCAAACATGTCATGTAAATCATTTCTTCAAAGTAAATCGAGCTTGTGATGCAGGAAACGATGCAGTTGTGATTGATAGTAATTTCATGGATAGTTTGACTGTTTAATGGTAAAATGGCAATTTTGTTGATTTTTCAAGGCTGCCTGGTAAGGCCCAAAAAATTCATATTTGCAGAATTGGGAAATTTACTATATTGGAAAATTTTGAATTCTTAATTTCAAGTTCTAGACAAATCCATTTTAAATCAAGATTTTTCTGGGGTTTTTTTCCCCTTCAAATATATGCTATCTAGATTAGTTTTTTATTTATTTAATTTTGGCTTGATTTGGGAAGTGAATTGTAGCTTGACCACCTAGCAATGTTTACTATAAATCAAGTTGTAAGATCTTGAAAGAGGTAAAAACTACTCAAATGAAGGAGGGTACCCCTCGGTCTACGTGGCAACATCTAATTAGTTAAGTCTATTTTGTGCCACATGGCATGGAGGAAATGACAAGAATTGCCAAAGGAGAATAACCCTCGGGATATATTTTGGGGAAATTTAGCTATAAACCCCTTTTACCTTCCTTTCATTGTTAAAAGGACTAAGAAAAAAATTATACTTTCTAAACCCCCTCATAATTATAAAATCTTACATAAATGACACAATTTATTATTTAAATATTTTATCAGACTATTATACCCCTCAACTAGATCTTTCCACCTTCTTCGTCCTCTCTCTCTCTGTCTCTCTCTCAGTTTTCGCACAACCGTTGCAGAGACTGTCTTCCATGAAACCCTAAATTTTCGATTTCACAACTCTGCTCAGAAACCACAAATGAATAGCTATTGAATCGTCTCTATAATCTCCAGGTACAATCGATTCAATACCTATCTGGTTATGTTAAATTCACAAATCATTCGAATCTCTTCACATTTCGCGATTTTTGTTGATGTTTCTACATAAATTTATCGACTCTCATCTTTAATTTTGTTGAAATTGAATGAGGATGTCGTTGGAGATTCGAAAGCTAGGGTTTCGGAGCAGATGGGGGAGATTCGAAGTGCGGTGGAGATGGCTCAATTGGAAGCGGAGAAGAAACATGATGAGGTTGTTGATGAGATGCTGGCGATGTTGAATGCGAAGGCTGAAGCTTCGAGATTGAAAGAAGTTGAACAGGAGGTTGGGAACAATTCAAACATGCATGCATAAATTATGTTCTATTTCAACATGTATGAACTAAAACAAGACTTAGCTCCTTAATTTGACATGAATCATGCAAGAACAAGCTCAATTCATAAGCAAGAGGTTTATACAGAGTAAAATTTTACTTTTGTGTAGAGTCTAACATTTTACTAGTTTTTCAGAGTAAAATTTTACTTTTAGTTTCAGAGTGTAAAATTTTACTTTTATACAGAGTAAAATTTTATTTTCATACAAAGTAAAATTTTACTTTTAGTTTCAGAATGCAAAATTTTACTTTTATACAGAGTAAAATTTTACTTTTAGTTTCAGAATGTAAAATTTTACTTTTATACAAAGTAAAATTTTACTTTCATACAGAGTAAAATTTTACTTTTATACAGAGTAAAATTTTACTTTTATACAGAGTAAAATTTTACTCTGAAATATATAGTAAAGATGACTTAATAGGAGAGCTGATAGATATGAAGGTAATATAGTAAAAAAAACAAGTTTTAAAATATTAGGGGGTTTTGAAAGTACTTATATAATTCTTGTCCTTTTGAAAGACAAATTAGATAGTGAGGAGGCTATCACCAAATCCCCCTGTATTTTGGAATATCCATTTAGATCTACTTGGTCACCAAGAAAAACTTTATTATACATACACCTACACCCCCATGGGTTAATGTATGCTTTCATTCACTACTCAACATCTCAATTCTTATCATCCTTATCTTATCTCTTCTTTTATGGGAACTAACTTGAGCGTTGGAGTGTCCAACCGACCAGGGCACTAATAGTGTTTTTCTCTTGTGGATTTCAAGTTCACATCGGTTTCAATGTCTTCTATCATCTTCTCTGTTGATTATCTTCATCAAACAAGGTATATTTTTTGTCCTTTACAAGGTTAAAACAATCCTTGTTCGAATAATAAAAATTTAGAGAAAGTTTTTCTCTATTGAATTGTTCTTTTTTCCTTAACATTTTTCTAGTTCATTCCATACGCTTTCCTATATCAACTTCCAAGTTGCAAATTGTGTTAATCCAGTTTAGTGAGTATATTAGGGATTGACATACGTATTATATCGACTGCCATGTCAGCATTGAAGTCCCTGTTATTTATTTTGAGGCTGCTAGGTTTGTCTTTGATGTATAAAGTATTGTAATGGTTGACTCCTAAGAAGTCAAAGGAACCCTTGACTAGTTTGGACTCAACTTTTGTGAATTCTGGAATTCTTGATCCTGCATTCTTCTTCACTATCTTTGGATAGTCACCAAATACCAGGGGATTGATAATCCTGCAACAAAATCAGACAAACAATGAAAAAAGATGGTTTTAACTTTTCACATACAAAAAATTCCCTGAATTCAAGATAATATCCCCCTTTGTTTTGACACAAAACATTTTTTTCGAAACATTTTCTATGAAAAATGTATTATGCAGAAAATATTTTTATTTTTTTTCATGTTTGGTTGCAATGTTGAAACTATTGTGCTCATTGTTATAGCAGCGATGTGGTGGTGTAGTGGTGGTGACAAGGTAATGGTGGTGAGGGTGGTGGTGTCAACGGCGACAGAGGTGACAGTGGCAATTGTGGAGTGGTGGTGGTAGAGGCGGTGGCAGTGATAGTGGCATAGTGGTGGTCGAGGCAATAGTATTAGTGGTGCCAGTGATAGTGGCATGATAGTGAGGGTGGTGTTGGTGGCAGTGGCGATAGCAACCACCATGGTAGTGGTGGTGGTTGGTGGTAATAGTGTAGTGTGTTAGAAATATTGTAGTTCGGACAATTTTTTCACTTTTCAAAGCAGGAAAAAAAATTTTCCAAAGAAATTTAATTTCTGCTAATTTTCATTTCTTATCGTACTATTTACTAAAAAATACAAAAATATTTTTTGCCGAAACAAACTATGGTGATTATGTGTCAACATTTAATAAATTAAGATGCATAACATCATTTTATGTATTTACAATTTGTAACTCACCACCCAATATAGAAGTCATTAGCTCTTTGAGTTGCAATCAAATCTTCTGTTGCATTAGTACTAGGGATATACCAATAAGCAAATACATTTATTCCTATGAATCCTCGTTGCCTGCCCTGTTTCATAACATATTTCTCCAACAATTATAAGCATTATATGTGATATTTTTTTCATCATTGTCAAAATTAGTAGTAAAATGAAGACTAAAGGAGAGACCAATATGCAAGACTCCCGCTACTACGAGGTCTAGGAATGAACATATTGGAGAATGCCATTGATGGGTGTCAGCAAATTTTAAACATTTTTTTTTTTATTGGCAAAAGTCAGTAGTTAGTTGTTAGATTAGCACCTCGGGAGAGTTGAAACTCACACTCATGCATTTTGCAAGAAAATCTTGCCCTCTCATTCCAGTCCTAGGCGTGGAACCCAAGGCCTCCCCTTAGGAGAGACTTGGTGGCCAAAGGGCTAGCCAACTAGCCCGTGTCAACAAATTTTAAACATTTTTTTTTTTGATCGGCGAAAGACAGTAATTAGTTGTTAGATTAGCACCTTGGGGGAGTTGAAACTCACACCCATACACTTTGCAAGAAAATCTTGCCCTCCCATTCCACTTCAGGAGTGGAACCCAAGACCTACCCTTAGGAGAGACTGTGGCCAAAGGGCTAGCCAACTAGGCTAAAGCCACTTGGTTAGCAAATTTTAAACATTAATGTTACTATAAGTCATCATCACGTCATTTCACTGGCCAAAGTGTTCGTCCAATATCACTTAGGTGGTGTTTCATAAAACATCGTAAAAAAGGCTAACCCAATGTTTATAAAATGTCACTAACATAAGACAACTCCATAAATATTTAGCAGCGTTTGTGTTAAGTTTTAGTGACTTTTTTAAACGTTGGTAAACGACAAATTTCCTATAGTGTATGTGTATAGTCTTACTGCTGCATGCTAAGAATGATAATACAATTTTTTTATCTAAGGAGATGCTTTAGCAAGTTAAGATAAAGGATAGTGGATTCCTCAATGTTTCTTATGAAGCTAATGGAATACCTGGTACTTGTTCTTGTACAAATTTGCAGCCGATGCGTGTGCCAGCAAGATATTATGAGCAACAATGTATGGCTCAGAGGATGAGTTACCTTTAGAACAGTTAATTCCAAATGGGAAAGAACATCGATTTGGGGGCGTAATGCCTACATCGTAACCACCCAAAACAAACACGTTGACCTCATTAAAGGTAGTCCAATACAAAACCCTATCGCCAAATTCTCTAAAGCACACCTCAGCATATGCCATGAAATCTTTCCTGCACCCGCAAAATAGCTAATTTCATTTTTGAAAATGAAAACTCAGTGCATGATAATACTGCTAAAGTGGGGAATGGAAAAGGCAAGATGTACAAATAGATAATTGCATGAACAAAAAAAAAAAAAAAATCATATATTTTGTTTTCCAAGAAGAGTATGTACGAAAAACAAAAAAGTGAGTGAAGCAGAAGCCAATAGTGATAACCATACACAAATTTTGGACTAAGACATCCTCCATATTCATCTTCAAGAGCCTGCGGCAGATCATAGTGCACTAATGTAGCATGTGGTTGGATTCCTGCTTGATAAAATATAAGGAAAAAAGATATCAATTGGGGGGGGTTATTATTAACATTTTGAGTTGTTTGGTTAACAATTTGGAAGTAACTTTTCTTGATTTGATAAGAAAAATAATTGATTTGCAATTTTGTGTATAGAAGATTCCAAATGCAAACCAAACAGTATTACAATGTTTATGAAGAAGAAGATGTGGATGTGACCACCATGTCTGATAAGTTCATTGATGAGATTGTTGTAATATTTCAATCCCTTTGGATTTACAGCTCCTCTTCCATCTATTAAAAATAATAATAAAAAGGGATGAGCACTAGCATATGAAAAGAACCAGAATTTGTCTAACATGAAAAAATAAAATAAAAAATATGAGAGAGTTATGTGATCATACTAGGGATAAGCCTTGGCCATGAGATGGAGAATCTATAGGCCTCCAGGCCTGTTTCCACCATCAGTTGGATGTCTTCCTGCAAGAGATTAATGTTTCACTTCACACATAGACCATATATACTCCGCAGCCACTAACGCTGCGTTTGGTCGGAGGATTTTGAGAGGGATTTGGAAAGAGAAACGGAAAAGGTAGGTGAAATGTCAATAAAACATGCCTATATTTCACCTAGTTTCATACACATTTTCCCTTTCCCTTTCCAAATCCCTTTTCAAATCCCCCAACCAAACACAGCATAAGAGATAGTGTAGTGAACATCATGTCTAATAAGAATCATGCATTCTTGGATCAATTACTCATAAAGATTGAAGAGGATGTGATGCATAGAATTAGAGGGGATGGATGAAATTAATGTAAAATGCATAAAAGCTGCGTTTGTTTATGTGTACTGGTCAATTCAAAATATCATGTTTGGATACAAAAGTGAGTCTCCGAAAAATCTCTCTAAACTATATGTCTTCCGTATGACGGACTATTAAGGCCTTGTTTGGCTAGTGATTTTTTTAGTTAAAAAGTTAAAAAATTATTAAAAAAATCAAAAAATCAACAATTTATATCAAAAAGTCAAAAAAAAAAATTCTACTTTTTGTACATCTTTTCGTAAAAAATTAAAAAGTCATCCCACACATGTTAGTTTTTTTTATATTATATTTTAGCTAAAAAATTAAAAAGTTACTAAAAAAATATGTTTCCAAACGAGGCCTAACTCTCATGGGAGAGGGTGGATACAAAATGGAGAGATTAAATGAGGGTCGCATTATGGGTTAGAAAACCAAAATATCCTTCATATTGGATCATTTACACTACGTATTCCTTACCCAGTGATTCCAAACAAACATGTAATGGAATAGGATATAATTCTATTAATTCCCTCCCCCTTCTAATGCAGGGACATACCAAATGTGGGATATGATATGTAATCCCAAGGGATTGGTAATATAATCTAACCAAACAAACATGACCTAAGGCCTCGTTTGGGAACAGGTTAATTTAGTAACTTTTTGGCTATTTGGCTAAAAAGATAAGTAAAAAAAACTTGTATGTTTGGGATGACTTTTTGGCTAATTACGAAAAGATGTGAAAAAAGTAGAGAAAAAAAAGAATCTTTAACTTTTTGGTATAGGTTGTTGGCTTTTTGACTAATTTAATAACTTTTTGACTAATTGGCTAAAATAGCCTCTTGCCAAACGAGGCCTAAGTGTTGTGTAATTGGAAGATTCTTATAAGTTGGATGGAAAACTTAAGACTACTATATGACTTGCTATAATGTATGGTACCAGTTGTTCGTAAATCACACTCACGTATCAATTAAATCCACAAAAATCACACCCACACTAGACAAGTTCGTAGATTATCAAAGGTGAATGAATTTCAATTTGGTTTACTCCTCGCCCCTCGCCATCATGGCCGTTCATCTTCACACGGTGACAAGAGAGGAAAAAAAAAAAACAGTGAGGAGGTGGGTTTTGATTTGGTGTGCCCAAGTACATTGTCATGTTAAAATGAGTGGTTATAATATGGATGATTGTTATTGATGAGTGGTTTTAATCTAATGTGGTTAAATTAAAAGTTGAAAAGAGTAATGTATAATTTTTTTCTCGTATCTAAATAAGTATATTTTTTGATTTTTATAAAAGATGTACAGAAAAATAAAGAGTTGATATAACCAAAATAAATGTACTTATCTAAACAAGTACACTTATTTAAGGATTGTCAAACAAACTCTTTAGTCATTTCTAATGAAATTCTTATTAAATCAACTCCCTCATCGTAGTGTTAATAGGATTATTTGTTATTTTTTTATTTTTCTTTTGTTACACAACTTAACATAAATTGACAGATAGTTAAAATTAAAATTAATTTGAAAGTTTAGAATTTAAATTCAAAAAATAAAAATGTAGAGTTTGATATGTTCTAAGGGTCAATTTTTTATTTATTTATTTTTTTTTTAAAGATTGCAAATATAAAGGCTTAAGAGAAATTGATTAATGTGGTCGATCCCAAGTTACTGGGACAAAGTTTTGTTTAGTTTAGTTGATTAGATCCAATCTCAACACATCATAAAATCAAATTAAACAAGTCCATCTTAATCTTATTATACAACCCCAACAATGGAATTTAAATTTGCCCACTCATTTTAAGAGCGTGCAAACAAAATACATGATGTTGATGGTGGATTTAATATGTAAAAAACATATTTATCGTATTGAAAATTTTATTATTTCAATTAATTAAAATTGATGTTTTGTTGACAGATTTTAATAATGTTCGAATAAATTCGAACTCTCAATAACAAACAGAGGAGAAAACAAAAGAAAGAAAATGACGAATTAAAGCATTGCGGATACCTTGTATTTGTGGTAACTGTCGCATGCTATGTCTCCGGTTGCACTGTCATTCGCTGAAATTTGAGTTTTATCTACATATCAATTAATTTTGATAATTTAAAAAAAAAAAAAATGAATAGTGTATGAGAGAGCCAATGCAAGATTGGGGAGAAATAGGTTGCTTTTGATGTAATGATTGAGATTAAGAATATGTTTGGATGATAAATTTGAATAAAATTTGAAAAATAAATAAGAAAGCTAAGGGAAATGAAACAATAAAAATAATTTATATTTTTTATTTACATTTACATTTCTCTCATCTTTTTCTTTTTCAAATTACTATCAAGTCCATAATCCAACAAACAGTCTACAAAAGTAAGAAGAGAAAAGAAAAACGGACCGGCGTGTGCGAAGGTGTCCCAAATGCTAGAAGCTCTTCCATCTTCGAATGCAGCACCCTCAACCTTATTTTTTGTTTATTTTTTCATATACACAAACATACATACATTCAATGTAATGTAACAGTAACATTCATCCAAATCTTCTTTCTTTCTTTCTTTATGACCCATTCTCTCTGTTTTTTGCTTCATACAATCTCTTTGTTTGGTTGGAGATTTAGGGAGGAATTTAGAAATAGAAAGTAAAAAGGTACGTGAAACTAGATGAAATATAAGCATATTTTATTTTTATTTCATCTACCTTTTATTTTTCTCTTTTCAAATCCCCAACCAAATACGGCGTAAAACAAATAATATATTAATTAAAGAACAAAGAAATAGAGAAGAGTAAATTACACCACTAGTCCCTCTAGTTTGTTCGAAAGTTTACTTTAGTGCTCATAATTTGAATTTAAACTATTTGATCTATATATTTTTGATTTTGTTGCAATCCAATTCCTCTGTCACGTGTTATTAACAATTTGAAAGGAAACAATTCTGATATATCGAAAGGAAAAAAAGAAAGAAAAAATAATTACGTGCAAAATTAGAGAGACTAAAATAAAATTAAAAACAAATTATATTAAATTTTATTTTGGTCCCTCTGGTTTCCCTCATAGTGTTTCTCCGTTTTAAATTATAACGTTAATTGACGGACATTGCAACAAAATTAAATTTGTGTAGACCGAATTATTCAAATTAAAATTGCGGAGACTTTAAATGGTGTAAGTTATCCAATAAAGAAGGGGAACCTGATAAGCAGAGGTGCCAGAACCGAAGACGAAGTGAGGTGGTAATGGGAAGTCATGTCTGCTGAAGTTGCTGGTGGTAACAGAGATGGACAAGATTAGTGGTGGCGCCGCCAAGTTTACCAGAAGAAATAGCTGAAAACAGAGGCTCACCACCACCACCACCACCATTCTCCTCTCTCTCTCTCTCTCTCTCTCCAACTTCACATTCCAAGGAGGCTCAGAGCTAGCAAGTAGTAAGTAGTAGTAGTAGTAGTAGTGTAGTGTGAGTCTCTGTCTCTTATAAAAGCTATCTCATTGATTAAAGTCCACATTCCCTCCTTTTTCTTTATGTTTTCTCAACCATTCATTCTCATTTATGTACATGAGGCCGAAATCCATTTAGAATATATCTCCCATGTCCGTATCATAAAATGACAGCCTTAAAAGAGTTAAATTTGAAGAGTTAAATTTGGTATACGGTGGGGACCCCCAGTGGGGGTGACCCCAGCACCCCCACCTCCACGTGGGGGGAGTGGGAGAAGACAAAGAAAAATAAAAATAAAAAATAAAATATGCACCAATCAGAAAACAGTGAGGGTGTTGGGTCCAGGACATTTTCCTTTGGTATATATCTAATAATATTAAAATGATATAATTTGGCAAATTTTATTTTCTTCTATCTCTAATGTTGAATTGTCAACTTGATATGCCAAAGTTAAATTTAGGTATGCTATGCTACTCAAAAATGTCAAAATTTTGGCAACCTTACTCTAATTCAAAAAAAAAAAATTTAAATTTTATTTTATGAAAAAGTCTAGGAACATAGTAATCAATTAAAAATGTAAACAGTTTGGTTTGGTCAGAGTTGAAAGAAAATTCAACATTGAATTGAATACTTCAATTTTGCTAATTGAGAAACCGAAACAAATTAGATGGCACAATTTGGGATAAAGAAAAAATATCATAAGTTATGAAAAACAGACTAAAAATTGAAATTTATGTTGGATTTGAATAGTTTGTTCAGTTTCATCTATTTTTTTATACCCCTGGCAACTTATCACAAAACCAGACATAAGTCTCTCAAACAAAGTGGGAAAATATTATTATGTTCAATTTTGTGATTAATTTTTGTACAAATGTAAGAACTGCCATTTTATTCGTTAAAAACAAAATACGAATAGCATTTATGGGTCCCATCTAGAGAGACAGAAAGAAGACTTACCAAAATTTAACAATCTTTCAAACCTTGTGTCATGTTTGGCATAAGGGATAACAACACAAATTTAGCAATTCAAATGGCAATTGCATTGGAGCTCTCATTTTTGCCCAAGCTACTATATTATAATAATGGCAACTGCTACAGTAGCTACATTGTAGACACTGTAATGGTACCCATAATAGAGAGGACACGCCTTATAGCCACCTCTATTATGTGCACAATTTTGTAATCCAATTTTGGCAAATAGTAAATCTCTTTTGGTAATTGAAAATGATAGATTATTAAAAAATAAATTATACCATTACTCTCTATAGTTTAAGTTTGAATTTAGTTAACTCATCATTCAACTCCTATGGTCGTAAAGGGTCTAATTAATTGACGTCTTTCTTATAATGTTTATCCATCACTTGCTTTCCTACCGATTTCATTGCCCTATTCGCCTTATTTTCTTGCACCAATAGAACTACTCTCTGAGTCTGGCTCATAGAAATTGTTGAGAAGAGTCACCCTAATTTTCGTAGTTTTAATTTAAACAATATGAATTCTATACTTTTTATTTTGTTATAATATGATTCTTTTATTACTTACCGTTAAAATTTTGAAAGAAAAAAAAAATTAACTTCGATTAGATTCACCTTTTATCTTTTCAAATACAACCTTATTTTATCTTTTCAAATACAACCTTAGAGAACTCAAAATTTATCAAACGCCAAACACAACCTTATAGAACTATTAATGTTGGTGTCATGTAGAATGGTGTGGAGGTAACACAATGGGGAATTTGGATCATCTATAGTGCACTTCCTATAGTTTAATTTGTAGTGCTTTTAAAATAAAAGAGCAAAGTTAAAAACGAGACATTAGATTTGTTTTTATTTATTTATGTGGCACATTGTCATTAAAAACACCACAGATTACATTATAGAAAGTGCATAATAGAGATACACTAGAGAGAATTTAAATTCTTACAAATATAGCCAATCAAAATAAAGTTTAATGTCCTCGCATAAAGAAACTAACAAGAATCCAGGCATTCTTAAATGCTTCAAGAGCTCAATCTAACAAAATCAAAGATGGAAATTGACCTGTGAATGTTTTTGTCTTCTATTGTTTTCCTTTTGTTGTATCATGAATTTGATTTCCATGCCCTACAAAAACACAAATATGCCAATGTCCCCTTCTGCCTCTAATGGTGCATTGGGAATACTATCACCTCGAGTCAAGACTCGAAACTTTTCTTTGGACGTGAACTACATTTTCCTGTTGAGGGAAGATAGGTTTGTTTTCTGTATTGAATCTAATAAAATGAACGAAAACTAAATTGAACATTGTTTCTATTTTGTTGAAGTAAGAAAGGTTAAAAGAAAGACTGATTGGGACCTAAATATTGAAAATAAAGCATGCTAGTCAATTTCATATATATACTGAAGCGGCTAATTTGTGTCTTTCCTTTCCCAATATTATCAGCGGTGGATGATATAGCAACAAGACACTAAATGCCCCAAAAAAAATGTGAAGACACTAGAAGATCATAACTGAATTTTAAGAGAAGGTAGGAAATTCCAAGTTCCGACAATTTTCTGAACCAGATCCCACTGCTCTATTAGACCTGCACATATTTTTCTAAACATGGTTTCAACAAATCAATAAATTTGTAATAAATACTTGTGATTTATCATCAAATCTTACACTTCAGTTCTAATACCAACCAAAAATATTTTGCGAAAACATTTACAGAGATACTAAAACATACAATTCTACTTAACCGAAACCACATATTTGTGTTGGCTCAGATTATTAAATTCATAAACTTCTCCCACATCAATGACAGCAAAAGTAAAGAATAAAAATACAAAGCCTGCAATTTGTAGAATTTCCATTTCCAAAAACAAGTCTAAAAATCACCTTACTGTACAAACAAACAATTGGTATGACTCATGCACAAGGGAGTACTTACCAACAAAAATTATGCATCCAACGAGAATTTGACAAACTTCAAAATATAGATTAAAAAAAAATCGACACCGACATTAATATAGCAATAACGCAATCAACAGCAGCTGATAACGCAATCACCTTCAACGCTACTTCACCCACCAAACCAAACATCAATAAAAAAATTGAAGATCATAGAGTAGAATATAAACCAATATTTGCAATAGCGAGTATCAAACCACATCTTTCTTTATTGAAGTTCAAAGCTAATTTGTTAAGACAGATAATTGAAATAACAACAACAACAATAAGTAAAGCAATAAATCCATTAAAATGAGGAAACTCAACTACAACAATATATATCTGGTAACACATATTGAGAACAATCCAAAGCTACTCATCAGAACAATGGAAAGAAAGAGATACACATAAATCAGGAAGAGCCAATTCAAGTGTACAAAGGCCAGTCTGTCCAAGCCCCAGAGACATGCCCATTCTCACAGACATAAGCTCGAACAACTGGTTCGCCGTCTTCATGGAACCCGAAAACCCTCCTCAAACAGAAGGCAGAATGCAGATCCCAAGTCTGTTTGCACGAGCAAAATGCGCAATTCAGATCAATCTTGCTACGATTCCCATCGTTTATCGTCCTCCAAACCCTGGATTTCTTGAAATTCTTGAAAATCCCCCTGAAAAGCATGTAATTTCTCTTCTCTTCAATGTGCACACAACCAGGCCAATCACAAATGTATAAACAATCCCCTCTGAATCGACTCGCGAGCAATTTATTGCCCTGTTCGCGACTCAAATTCCAAACCCCAGAAGCCAAATGAGACCTAAGTGATCTGCAAATTTTCCTTCTCTTACATACAGAAAAATCACAAGCTGTCTTAACAACACCATTTTCAGGTTCTTCATCCATTTCAGATCGATCTAGAGATTCAGAAGCATTATAAACAGTATCAAAATAGAGATCATCAAATAAAGACCAAGAACACTCAGACCCAGAAACAACCGCCTCTGAATCACCTTCAATTGCGCTCGAAGAAGGCATTGTTCGGGACTGGCCCAATTGAAATAACCTGTTTTCGTGGTAATTCTCATCGGGTCCGATCTCTCGCTCGAGCCCAAAATCCGAATTCTCCAACAAGACTCCGGCGTGGAGGAGGCCGGGGCAGCAGACGGCGAGCTTGTGGAGAGAGGCCCATCCGCCGAGAGGGGCGGTGGCGGAGTCGGAGAGGAGATCGGAGACCACAGAGGGGATTGTTTGGGAGCATTTTATTTTCCAACAAATGGTGCGAATCAGAGAAGAGAATTTGGTGCAAACGCAAGCCAGTCTAGCCCAGTTTCGAGGATCGTCTTCGAGTTTGAAGAAAATGTTGAGAACAACGTCCTCGGAGAGCTTTGAAAACCCTGTATCGGTCATTTTCCCTACAAACAGAGAAATGGGTATTGATTTATAGGGAAGAAATTAAGAACAAATCTTCTATTGTTCTGTTTTTCTAATGGATTTGTGAGATGGGTATCAACTGTTTTTGGATTTTCTTTCGAAATTTTCAGATGGGTATACCTAAATCGAAGAGAAAACGATAAAAAAGAAAAATAAAATAAAAAAGAAGAAAGAAAGATGAATTGCTCTGTGCTGTAAATTCGTGATTAGGTAAAGATGGGTAGGGAATTGCTACAATTTTTTCAAAGGTTTTCCAAATTTCTCAGAAGATTACATCAAAACGGGGAGAGAGAGAGAGAGAGAGAGAGAATTGAAGATAGGCTACACAAACTCGTAACATAAATGTAATACTGGCTATTGTTAGGTCAAGATTGGAATCTTTAAAAAAAAAAAAAATTAAAAAGTTAAAAAGTCTATTTAAATTATATGTCATATTATTTTTTTATCACATCATTTCAAATTCAATTCATATTTTATAAAAATTTTAAAAATACAATTATTTAGAGTATCACAAACAACCTTTTGATATAAAAATTATTTGACAAATTATCTCAAAAATATCAACTCACTTTTAAGAAATATAATAACAAAATAAAATTTTAAGTTATAATTCATATTATCTCAAAAAAATCAACTCACTTTTAAGAAATATGCTAACAAAAGAAAATTTTAGGTTACGTTTGGCTGTCTTTTAAAATTATAATTTTAATTAAAAAAAAAATTAACTTATAATCAAATATATAATTTAAAATTATTCAAAACTCAACTCAAATATTATTTTTAAAATTTATAATCAAACACACAATTCAAAACACTTTTCAAAATTTAAAATTAAATTCTTTTCAAAATTCTACTTAAAAAATCATATTTTTTTATTTTGTTTTTTAAAATTATTTTTAGTATCATGAGTTGAATGTAGAATCGTGTTTTGAGTTTTGAATTTTGAGTTGCGTTTTAAAATAAAAAAATTTGATTATGAGTTTTGAAAAGAATTTTAAGTTATATTTTGAGTTTTGAGTTATATTTTTTAAAAAATTTAGATTTATTTTTTAAAATATTTTTAAAAAAAATTTAGGTAAATAAATATAGTTAAAATATTTATTTATTTGATTATGATTTGAGCATGGAGTTTTGAAAATAATATACAGTTTCAAGTTATGTGTTTTGTTGTGAGTTTTAAAATAATTTTTGAATTGAGTTTTGAGTTATTTGTTTGGTTACTATTTGAGTGTAAATTTTGTTTTGAGTTTAAAATATTAAAATTACAAAAATTAAAATATTTACAACATAAAATAAAAATATTTAAATAAAAATTACATATTTAAAATATTAAATTTTTAAACATTTTTTAATATTTCAAAAAAATAAATCTAAAAATTTCAAAATTCAAAAACTCAAAACTCAAAACTTAAAATACAACTCAAAATTCTTTTCAAAACTCAAAACTCAAAACTCTTTTTAAAATTCAGAATTCTTTTCAAAACTCATAACAAAATAAATTTTTTCTTTTCAAAACTCAACTCACAATTTTAAACTTAAATCACAACTTTACACTCAAATCATAATTTCAAAACTAAACCAAACAGAACCTTAAAAAATTTCTATCAAAAATAAAAAGAAGTGTTTTTAAAATTTTATTATTCTTGTTGGCAAATTCAATTTTTAAAAAAAATATTTTTAAAAAATGTTGGTGGATGGCAACACCCTTTTTCATCATAGAGCAATGTTACATCCCATCAAATTTAGTGTCATCCAAACTGTTTGAATTTGTTCATATTAATCGTCCAAAAAGTTAATCGGCCAATTTATTGGTCGTCCAGTCAGTCGTATAGATAACAAAATAATGATGACAATAGACAAAATAAACGAAAGTGATTATCACAGTAAACGATGTTTGTCTAAACAATTATCCTACTAACATAAATTCAAACTATTTAGGGTTGTTTTGGAAAGTTGGTTAAAAGTAATTTTTTTGGCTTTTAATCAAGCTTTTGGCTTTTTTAGACAAATGATTTGGGAAGTTGGTAAAAAGTGACTTTTGACTTTTTTCATTAATATTTGTTTATGATGTCAAATCATAATAAAATGACTAAACTACCCCCATTTATTTAAAATATTTACAACTGAACCTATGTAACACATTGTGACCCATGAGGGGTAAAATTGTAATTGTACCGTTGGCTAAAAACCAACTTGCCAAATGAAAAAAAAGCCAAAAAAGCTAACTTTTAACTTTTGCTACTAACCAAAAAAAGTGACTTTTAACTAAGTTCCCAAAATAGCCCTTAGACAACAACAAATTCAATGAGTAAATCATTTCACTTCACCATGTTTACTTTTTGAGAGTCCAAAAGGCGGTCAAAGATAATTGACATTATCAATTTCAAATGAGAAATGCTAATGTTGATATGCACTAAAAAATAAAATTAAAATTAAAATTAAAAAAAAAACGCCATGTATTAAAATATATAAATTTTTAGAGAATGTATTAAGATTTTATTTTATTTCTTTTGTCAATATTTATTTTTTAACAAAGCTTATTGAACAGTTAGCAATTTTTTTTTTGACTATTGCGGGTAGAAAAAGAAAGAATTAAAAATAAGATTGGATTTCTCTTAAATTTAAATTTGAATTTGACTATTATGTTTGGATTTATAAGGTTCACTATGGGTTTTATTTTTATAATTTAAATCGTTTATTTTGTAAGATTTTTCATATACATTATTCATGAAAAAAATTAAGTCGATTTGATAATAATAATCTTTTTATTTTTTCAAAGATAAATCAAATAAAATTAAAAGTTACATTTATCAAAATGACCTAATTTTTTCATAAATAATATATATAAAAAGACTTTACAAAATAAACAATTTAAATTATTGGAGCCGGACACACAATGAATCTCATGCTTCACAATTAAATCTAAATTTGAATTTAACAAAAGTGTAACCCAAAGTAATAAATAAATTTAAGTGGAGACGACCGCAACTTGTGTTTAATAAAGTATATTGCTTATAATTTTTATTTTGTGAATTTCTATCAATAAAAGTTTTTTGTTATAATTTATAAGATAAAAGTTTTTTAAATATGCTTACAAAAAAAATTAATTATTTGAATTTTTTTTTTTAAGATAGGGAATTATTTGAAAGTTGTTAGAGAAATATTTTAACTTTTACGTTTTGATTTTAAAAAAATTACACATTAAAATATTAATTTGAGTTTGGTTGATTGATTGGAATAAGAATTGTAGATACATTTAGTGAATAAAAAAATAGAACATATCAATTTTCAAATACACTTATACACTTGGTGGTGCCAAAATAAAAAAATTAAAAAAAATTAAAGTATGTCAATCTTTCTTCTTCCTTTTTTCAAGTATTACTTCTATTTCTCTATCTAAATTTTTTTTTTAAAAGAAAAATTATTACTTCTATTCATTAATATAAAATTTTTTATCTTCCATACGAAAATACCTTACAAAGACCATATATATAAGTTGATTCATTGACTCAAATTGTCGAAATTACTTAATACCTAGCATAAATGGCCTCAATTTATAAGTTCCCTTAGGATTCCAAAAAGTTCATGACCTACCCTTTCAAAAAAAAATAATAATAATAGCACTAGTACAGTAGGCCAGCAGTGGCCAAATTGGTGAAAGATGACAGAGAAGGTTAAAACTTGTGTTTAAAAATAAGTGAAACATATTTTTTCTCATTTTCAAAAAAATTATAATTTTAGAATCAATTTTAATTTTTTGAAATAAAATAATATACTAAACAAATTTTTATTTAGGCACTCGAGTCATATAATATACCAAACATATTTTTTCTTTTTTAAAATTAACTCACAATTTCATATTCAAATCATAACTCTAAAAAAATAATTATAATTTCAAAACTAAACCAAACAGTACCTATATTACCTTTACTAGGGGTGTGCATAATACCGCCGAAACCGCCAAAACCGCACCGAACCGCACCGTCAAGGTAAATTTGTTATTATTTGTCAATCGAACCGCCGGTTTTTGGTAAGAAAAATGGCAAATTCTAGTGACACTTTTATCAATTCGCCGGTTTTTATTTTTCTTCCAAGCCGCACCGACCCGCACCGCTATTAAATCATGTTTTATAGGATTCTAAAAATTCTTTTTTACTTAAGTTTGCTTGTTGTTCTATAGCTTAGAATATAGTATTACATTACTGCTCGAGGGGAATTTTATGTATTGTATTTGATCATTGTAGCTTCCACAGATGCTTGTAATGAACTGATGGCATAGTCGTTGATATTATCATGTTATTGCTACACTTGCTGCATCAGAAGAAAGCTTCGCAAGATACTTAACATCACAATATCTCTCGTCTTTTTTTTACTCTTTGATTTAAGTTTTGTAATTTGAATTATATTTTTTATAAACCGCCAATCCGCCGAACCGCCAAGGCAAATCCGCCATTATTTGCCAACCGAACCGCCGGTTTTTTATAAGAAAAATGACAAATTCTAGTGATACTTTTATCAATCCGCCACCCGCCATACGATTTCTATTTTTCTCTCAAACCGCACCGACCCACACCGCGCACACCCCTAACCTTTACATATTTATCTATTATGAAACTTGGAGATTGGAGGCAAGTGGGTTGAGAAAGTGAAGGGAATGAGTTATAATATCAAGATATTTTAAAAAATTAAACTTTTTCATTTTTGGTATTTTTTTTATTTTTATTGAATATTTTTATGTTTTAAACAATTTTTTTTTAATTTTTAGACACACCTAACATAAATATACTTAAAAAGTATAATATTTGTGAAAAAAAATTAAAAATTCACTCAATACCAAAATTATTTAAAAAAATAAAAATTCAGTATATTTTTCATATTTTATATATTTATTAATTTTTAAAAATATTTTACTATTTAGATACATCTAAATAAGATGTATTTAAAAAGATAAAAAAATTTAATTAAAATTTTTAAAATATTCATTATAAATAAAAAATATAAAAATATAAAAAATTAATTTTTTTAAAAATTAAAACTAAACACACTAAGGGTTGGTTTGGCAAGGGCTCATTGGGCTTTTTTGGCTCAAGGAGCTATAAAAGACAGAATAAGCTCATGAGCCACAACAGACAAAACATCCAATCCAACCCCATAATCATTACACTCTTCTCTCACAAAAAAATCAAAAAAATCAAAAAGCCAAAAGTCCTTCCCAAACTAAGTTTTTGAGCCCAGGCTCATATAGTTAAAAAAGCCAAAAAATTAAAAAGTCAACCCACTTTCCAAACGGAGCTAAATAATAGAGACTCCCTATGCACAACCTATTTCCGTATATGGGGTGTAATTAATTAAGGGTGGTGACATTTGATTTGAGAGTTGAAACTTTGGTGGGTTTCCTAAACAAGGAGAGAGAAGAGTCCTTTTCTATGTGCCTGTTTGGGAAGTGGGTGGGATTTTTTTTAGGTTAAAATAGTTTAAAAAACAAAATAATAAGTTTTTAATTTAATAAAAAAAATATTACATCTAATTCATAATTATTATATTTTTTATTTCACAAAAAAGTTAAAAATTCTTTCCAAGCCAAGTTTTTTAATTTCAAATTAAAATAATCAAAAAAAATAAAAAGTTAAAAAGTCAACCTACTTCTCAAACCAAGCCTATAAGAAATATGTTATAAGTTTCAAATTTTTCATTAAATAAATAATTAAATATCTCACATAAATGTAAATCCACAAAATTCAAAATCACATATTTAATAGAAATTTTGATATTCTTAATATTAGCCTTTTGATAATTGATAATACTACAAAAATAATGGATTTGCTCAAAGATGAAACTACACCACATATTCTGGTTAGTGACGACATCCTATTGCCACCCACCACATATCTATCTAACTTTATGTCTGTCTAGTACATCATATTGTGTGTGTGACCGCCCATTGGTATTGCCATTTCACTTCACGTGCCTCTTCTTATCTCCTTGGTCCCCTCCTAAGACAAGGACATGCCCTCTTTACATCACCATTTTTTTTAAAAAAGAATTACAAATTAGTCAACAATAAAAGAATATTTTTATTTTTATAGCCCCGTTTAATGTAAGTCCTTATATTAGAAAAGATTTCATTTATAATGTAATTATTTTTTTCGTTATCTCATTAGTTTGTAATATTTTTTTTTTTTACTCATAACATATTTACATAAACTAATAAATTTTATATTTTTTTATTAATTAATGTGTTATGTATTAAAAAAAAATTAAGATTCTCAAAAAAAACTCTTACAATTTGACTCATAATAATATAAGAGTCAACTTTTTATTTGAATTATTGTGGCTAAATAATAATTTCAAGTCACATACGCAATTTCATCGCCAAACAAGTTAGGGTGAAATTCAAACCGCCCAACTCCAAACGCCAAATTCGGTGTAAATTTAGATAAAAATTTAAAATTAAATTTAAATATCACACAATCCAAACAATTCAAAACCATAGTTTCAATATATAAAAAAATATTAAATACATATCAATTATTAGTCCTTTAATGATATGTATATATATATATCAATAATACTAACGATATATATATATATATATATGCAATAAGACAACAATTCCTTGATTCTTATCCCTCCTTTTTGTCTCTCTCATCACATGAACGGATTGCTATAAATAATTTTACCAATAAAAATGTTAATAAGATCTAATTTCAACAAATTAATTATGACTTAGTTGGACCTAGCCCAATTTTAATTTATTATGGTCAGGTCAAGCATAAAAAAATAAGATCATGTTGCAAATCAAAACTAAGGGGTTGTTTGGGTGTCTTAAATAAGTGTATTTTTTCTCTTTTTAGACTAAAAAATTGAAGAAGAAAATATGGATGTTTGGATTACCTTTTTGACTTTTTATAAAAAAAAATGTGTAATAAAAAATTGTAAAAATTAATTTGTAGGTGTAGAGGAAAATTAGGATTAGAAGTTATGCAGCCGTAATTGTTGACTTTTGATAAATAGTGTTAACTTTTTAACTTTTTAATTTTTTTATAATATGCCAAACTTAGCCTAAGTAAGTTCAGACAATTCTTAACGCAACTTAAATTAGACTACACAATAATTCATCCCGACCAAACCAAGGCAACTTATCTAAATCCTTAAAATTAGCCAATTGGCGCTCCGAGAATACAACAAAAAATGAAGGGATAAAAATATACATCAACAAATACGGAGCCTAAGAAAACTAAAAAAATACTGGGTATTGCTCTAAAACATATCTCAAGCACAAACATAAAGGCCCGTTTGATTTAGTTTTGTAATTATGATTTGAATGTAAAATTGTGATTTAAGTATAGAATTATGAGTTGAGTTTTGAAAAGAAAAAAATTATTTAGTTATTAATTTTGAAAAGAGTTTTAAATTATATTTTAAAATTTTTTAGATTTATTTTGTTTAATATTAAAAAATGTTTAAGAAAATTTTATTTTATTTATTCTAAATACATAATTTTTATTTAAATATTTTTTTTTATTTTGTAAATTTTTTAATTTTAATATTTTAAACTCCAAACACAACTCTACATTCAAATCATAACCAAACACAACTCAAAACTCAATTCAAAAACTATTTTCAAAACTCATAACCAAACATATAACCCAAAGCTTCACACTACTTTCAAAACTCTACACTCAAATAATAACAAAAAAAATATATATATATTTAAAAATATGTTTATAAAATAAAATAAAAATTAATATTTAAAATAAAAAAATACAACACACAAATGTATGAAATATAGTACACATTAAAATAAATATTTAAAATATAAAATATTTATCCTAAAAAAATAAAATTAAGAACATTTTTCAATATTTTTAAAAAATAAATCTTCAATACTTCAAAATACAACTCAAAACTCTAAATATAATTCAAAAATCTTTTCAAAACTTATAACCAATCAAATTCTCTTTTCAAAACTCAACTCAAAATTCATAATTCAAAACATGACTTCATACTCAAATTATGATTCTAAAAATAATTTTAAAAGACAATAAAAAAACATTATTTTTTCATTTATTTAAATAGAGTTTTGGGAAGTGTTTGATTTTGAATTTTAAAAATAATTTTTGACTTAAATTTTAAATAGTTTTGAGTTATATGTTTAATTATGAGTTTTGAAAAGAATTTTAAATTTTTTTATTAGAATCATAATTTCAAAAAAGAACCAAACACAGCCAAAATATATAATAAGCTTATTCGTCATTACAAAATGAGAGATTTATTATAAAATAAAATAAAAAACAAGTATTTGTATCCCAATTAATCTATAAGATATTATTAGATTCCAATAAGTCTTATTATTTGAACATTTGATCTACCAAATCTTAATTTTCATATTTAAGATATTTTATAGACATTTCTTTCTTTACAAATATTTTTCGAACGGTTAACAATTTAATGATGTGAACATTCATATTTTACAATGTGAATATTCACATTGACGTGTGAATGTTCACATTGATGGAGTGAACATTCACATTGACAGAATGCACATTTATATTGACGATGTAAATATTCACATCACGAGACATTCGCACTATAAATGTGAATATAATTAAGAATATTTTGATAACTATGTCACTTATAAAACTTATTAGAATATAAAAAACTAATGTGAACTAAATAGAATATAAGTGAAAAAAAATTTATGAAAAAATAGCACTTCCGAAATACAGAAGATACCACCTTGTGGGCAACCCCTAAAATATTTAAAATTCAGGCATTTTTTATTTTATGTGTATAGCAGGAAATGCCAACTTACCTTCCTCACGCCACCGATAAATCAGACAATGTGACTACACGGATGGTCCACCCATGCCAAATTGCCTATCAACTTGACAATAAGGTCAAGTCGGAGAAGACTAAATAAGTGTACTTTTTAATTTTTTTTTATATTATGTGTAGAAAAAATAGAGAGAAGATGTTGATTGATGTGACTTAAAAAAGATAAAAAGATGAAATAAGTACCCTTTTTTTTTGTTAGCCAAACTTGGCCTTAAACCAAAATTAAGAACAAAAAAGGCTGCCGTTGACATCAGTGAGAAGAAATTGTTCAAGCAAAGGTTTCAACATGTTCAGTAGCCAAAAACAAGATTCAAGGATAAAGCAGAAGGAAATAAAGTCAAGTAAAAAGCCATTCAACAATAATTCAAAGCACTAATTTTGGTGTTTTAATAGAGCACCAATGACATTGGCAAGAAGAAAAAAAAACAAACAAACAAACAAATCAAGACCAAAACATCATGTCAGAATGGGTGGAACCCACTACCAGCTTATTAGAATTGGCTTTGGTGCTCAAGAATTAGAGCTCCAAAGTATTTTTCAAATCCATTAGATCATTTCTAGGCTCATAAATTTAAGTTCACCCTTCATCTAAAGATACAACTAAACATGCCAACGATGTCTTATTATTGCATAAAAACTCTCCGGTAAATTACACAACATTCACTCTACCAAACTTAACTGACAAAATGGAACTGAACTCCCTCAATTCAACATTTACTATATAAGAAGGAGAAGCCCATAGGCAAGAAGGCAAGAAACCAGCAGAAACATGATAAAAAAGTACCACAAAAATCAAGCAAAGCAAAGCAAAGCAAAGCAAACCAAGACCACAAATATATTTGGAAAATCAACGACAATAACCCAGAAAATACCAAAGCCTTTTCCTATAAGTTGAAAGCTCACAAGTAAAATACATACAGTAAATTTGGTAGATAATGGGTTCTAGTTCAACAAACATATTAGAAATTAGCTGAAAATGATAACACACAATCACTATTCCAAATCCATCCAAACTCCAGTCTATTTTTTTTAATTGTGGCAGATGAACCCACTGTTAACCCACAAACGTAAATATCAGGCAAACAAATTTACCTCCTTCACTGCACTGGAGTCAACAGATTCAACCACAATCAAATCTCACCTGTTAAAACATAGTTGCAATCAGAACCATGATTGAAGTATTTGATAATAACAAAACGGAAAAAATGAAGGATAACACAAATTTGGCCACCAAGGAATCAAATGCCTAAAAGGAAAAATTAGAAATGTGGTGCAAAATTATGGGACCTGGACACACTCTTACTCCGGCTCCGGCTAGAACTGTGCTTTTTTGGGCTTTCACTCATGCGTTTCTGCCGCTGAAGATAATCAAATTCAAAATAAAAGGCAGTACAAAGAAAACAATGGCAGGTTAATGTAAATCAGGATTGTTGTAACTATAAATAGTCTATTTACCCATGGAAGACATCAGGGTGTTCAACAGGTAAACCCTCTTTAAGATATTCAAACTTATTGATTAGCTTATGAGGGTTCAACCAGATTAAATTGCCCCAAAACTTCAAGTTCATAGGCAAGAAGAATATAGAGTCAACAGAACCAGTATCTAGGTTTCAAAACATTGCTAAAAAGAATGTGAGGTTTCACTTACAGATGGTACGGGAGATCTGGATCTTGATGGAGATCTGCAAAAGTTCCAGAAACAACCCAAATTTAATATCCACAAGTCCCTTGTAACAACTGTGCTCCAAGAGCCTTGATGCCTCTTCCACGTCATATTTACCATAATCAAAACAGATAAAAAAGGAAAGCCACAAGTATTTAGCAGCCCAACAGAGAAATATATGGCACCCTCTAAATAAAAGACCTACTAAAGTTAAAATGCAAACCTTAATGAAAGCATTACAATGCTTGTTTAAGACACCAGTGGACAGGATGCCCAAAAGATCAACAAAGAATCCAGATACTGTGTTCTATTAGCTTGGCAATGTTGAAAAAGCAATGATAGTATAATTGTTTCTACCGCAGGATGGTGGTTCCCAAATTCCAATAGCAATTAGTTCATAGTCCAGCTTTACCATCACAACCCATGAACTTCATTGTTCCCAATCTAGCACCCATGGACATTTGAGATGCTTAATGTATTAGAAGACATACCACAAAGGTTTCTAAAGCTGCCCATCTAAAAAACAGCATACCTTCACAACCACAACAGTTGCAGGCACTTGAACCACATCCCACCAAGATCCTACTATCCAATCCCCAGATAGCCGCATACATCCATATCTAAAAAACAAACAAGGTAATTTCATATATATAAAAAGGACAAAATGGGATTGATGATTGTTTGACAATCTGGTATGTTTTCTCAATACCACTTCCTCTAAACCAATAATGAAGTCAAGAAAGCATGGCAAACATGGGACAAAACAAGCAGAGTGCCCTGAAGCCAATGTGCTAGTAAAGTGCAAGAATACTGGAAAATCTCCTCGCCACTTGCCCATTTAATTGAGCCTAAAATAAAACTTGGAATTAAAACCTATAAATCAAAATGATACATCATACATATCAGTACTAGAAGCAAGAGTTTGTAGGTAGATCCCTTCATTCTTTTTTCTTAGTTAAGTATGCAGGAGATATTTCTCCACTCATATGATACCAAAATATATTTGGCAACGACGTAGTCAAAATTAGAAAATAAAAAAAAATAAAAAGATTCAACTTGAGAGATGAGCCAAAGACTTGTTATTTAGGCAGGACCATTCCAAGATAAGTTCAAATAGTGCACAAGAGTCTAAGAAAACCCACAAAGGTTCTTCAGAATGCAGATAAACGAATGATAACCTCATGAAAACTTGTCACAAAATAGATATCCATAACTAAAGCCAAGCCAACTTTAAATATGATCCAGCTAAAAAAGCTGCTTTTTGGCAAAATATAAGTATAAAGCCAAACTGCTAAAATGCATGTTTGTTGAATGGCCAAAAAGCAACTCAGTTATTCCACGCACAAAAACAACTTTTTACAATACCAAACAACCTCTAATCTATATAGGAGAATTCCTCCCAAAGTGAAGTTGTGTAGATTACTTAAATTACAAGAGTACTCATATAAAAATAATTTTTTTTAACAATTTAAATAATTTTGTTCCCTTGACTATAGGACAAACATCGAAATCTAAAACTATTTTACAATCACGCACCTTTCCTGGTAACTTCCCTCAACCACTTGACAACTGATAATCCATGTTTGCAAAGGCAGATACTCTTTTTCCTCCTAAGGTCTGCAGTAACGATTCTGCAAGTTGTTTTGGTTGATATAACGTTGGCCAGTCTTCCTGCTACTTAAGTTCATTCACGACGTTTTTCTAGGGATTTTAACACTTATGTTTCTTGCTTTGTGTGAAAGCCTACAAAAAGGTTTATCAAACAGTTCTGAAAGTCAGTTCAAAGTAGCTTTGCTTCTTTCTCTCTGAGGGAAGGGAGAGCATTAAAAGCACAAATCCCAGTCTCTTGAGACTGGGGGCACAGAGAATGTTACAGTATCAGGACTCATTAGGCATTGCCCATTGTTGATGAGAGGCTGATTCCAACGTCAATTTTGCTTCCTGCTCGGTGGCCTCATCCCCAAACCAACGAAAAATTCATATACCTTCCCCCACAACAAATACATACATATATCCATTCATGTGTATATATTCATATTTTGTGGGATAGTGAATTAAATTTAAGCCCTTGACTATGCATTGTATGTGAAGTCCGTACGTTAATCACATTTTCAATGCTTCACTACACCTAATCTTGATCAATTTTTGAATCAATCGTTCCGGACAATGAGCCCAAATGTTGCAGGACAGAAGGCCACATTGTGCAATCTATCATTGAAAGCAAAGGCTGCTGCCAGTAATTCGTTTAACGTGTACTCACACAGTGAGTGCCTCCCACGTAGTAGTAGTAGTAGATTGAATCCAGTTCAAGCAAAAAAGTTGGATTCACAAATGTGACTTGGATGCGGCTACAACCCAAAATGAAACTTGATGACAAAGGTAGATAAAGTGACAATGCACCATGCATAACTGATAAAGAGTATGGTCATACATAACTAACGAGTTCAAGTTATAAATCAATCCATTGTAAGGTTTTCTACAACGGAAAACAATTGATACAGTATTACTGAAAATGTGTACAAAACAATTCCAACACATGATGTGAATATGACAAATATGAAACAGCAAGAATAAAAATTCAAGTAATTGAATTCATCATGCAGAACATATAGATCATTGGATTGCAATTTCTGACATATACAGCCAAGGATCAGTGACTAAATACAAATTGAAACCAGACCTATTTTCAATACTTGTCATGATGCAGAACATGGCAAAATATGCAAATGGACTACCTTCAAAAAATAACACATGAAACATATCAACAAACCCAAGTAGACAATTTAAAACTGTGAGTAAAAGAATTCTATGTGAAATAAACCAGTGTCAACACACAATTTCTGTTCCATTTCATTCACACAGAAAAACCACATCGCCAATAGGATCATTCATTATTTCAACATGCACAATTTTCTTCCTAATATTCTTAAATCAACTCCACTTTTTATTCCCCTTTTATCTTCCCGTTGATTTAGAAATCAATAACTTTACAATGTGGACCAACCATCAGACACCATTTAAAAAAAAACAAAGTAGGCTTTATTTCCACAAGTCACAGAAAGTACTGAAATGAATATGAATGGGATAGAAAATAACATTAGTTCACTAGTGGTCATCCAAGGGAAACAGTATGAAACCATGGAATAATGATGAATATCTCTATGATCAAGCTCAAATTATAACAATAAAGGTATACCTTGACAGAGAACGTGGCTTTGATCCAGAACGAGAACGAGAAGCAGACCTTGACCGAGATTTAGCAAGTGATCGATGCGCAGATTTGGCTTTCGGAGACTTGCTGAATGACAATTCAACAAAATTAGAGGGGAAAAAAAAAACACAAAATGGCAAAATATATATCCAAAAATTACATGATCCAACCTCCTGCTCCTGCTCCGACTCAAACTCCGGCTACGACTGTAGCTCCTGCCTCTCGAGTAAGAGCGACTACGACTGCGGCTTCTGGAATAGCTCCGGCTCCGACTTTGGCTTTGGCTTCGGCTTCGGCTTGATTTATACTCCCTTACCTGTAGGTAAATTGGAATGCTAAACAGAATGCATATGGGGTATTAGCATTAAAATATTGAAGTAACAAGCTAAAGTCATACACGAACTATTGCTCGAGTAAAAGCATTCCGAAACTCAGAGTCATCAAGCTTCCTAATCTGCAGATAGGAAACCAACAGGCTGCTTAGGCATATAAAGCAACTAATATGCGCTTTTCATAAATAATAATAATCAAATAAATAAATAAATAAAAACTCATAAAAATTTATAGCATCCACTTGAACAAGTACAGAAACAAAATTACAATGAAATGGAGACTTACTGCATATTTCATGTCATCATAGTTTGTGTAATCCACAATCCCTGTTGTACCTGCAAGACAACCATAATAGATAATATTAGAATCCAGTTACAAAGATAAAACGAGACATACCAATTCCATAATTCTCTGAAGACAATGCAACAATTTGCAGAATAAACCATCAGGATAGCACAAACGGATTAGGTAGAAGTTCAAACTCAAATCATAAGATAGACCATTGTACATAGAATCAACCAAAAGTGTAGCTTAAATAAATTGTAGGAAGAAACAGAATCCCAAGATAACAAAATAATATAGACAGTGTAATAATTCAGAATATGTTTAATTCATCTGAAAATCTAATTGTCTAATCTGCTTCAACTGCATACGGAGAAATCAATATATGTCCACACCATCCACGTGTCTTTTGCATTGCTAACAAGTTCGCTTCGCACAATTAAAAATTTAAGCATTCATAGCTATCACTGTAATTCGAAACCCTAGGATGAATAATCTAAAATGCATGTTGAGTTGAGCAAGAGTAGTATGACTAGGAAGGGACTGAAGGGGCTCAAACCCGCAGCAGACCTTGACAGGGCGGTGCTCTAACCAATTGAACTACAATCCCAGGAAAACAAGGGATATAACAGAAAATTGGATTGTTTTTTTATTCCTCCGTATCAGGTATTTCTGAAGGACAAGGGGTAATACCATCTCATGCAGATTGGCAAATTACTAGGCCGAGTTGGATTTGAACTAGCATAGACAACAAAACTTCATAAGAAAATATCCCGAGTCAAATCTCTGGATCTAACTTGTACTTACAATTATTGCTTGAAATGGAGATAAACAGATTAATAAAGTTCATTGCTGATCTGCAAGACACTTAAATATCTCACACATCTGCCATGTCCAGCCATAAATAGATGCATTGATTGTGGATGACACCAAGAAGTCATGAGGTCTGTGACTTTTTTCTAAACTATCATTAAGCATTCATCACTGGTTTAATCTATAGATAAAACATTTACGTTTTCATATGACGAACTATTCCATAGAAAGATCAGAAGCACACTACTGATCACTACTGTTATAGGAAATTACCTGGGCACCAGGTAGGTCGCATAGAGAAACCATAGCACACGACCTATGCATTTCAGCCAGGCTCAGCAAGCAAAGACCAATCCCAAAACATATCCCTATACCGTTATTTAAAACCATGGATGGGACCCATGGGAGGGAAGGTCTCTTATTTGTCAAAATAACATCTCATGATAAACCACAATAGTTATTACGGGCATATTGACCCGAAACAGGTTAAAGTCGAATTCAACCGGCCCCCATCCTGAAATGACTATCTCAAGCCAAATTAAGTTGTGCATGAACTCTATTCCATTACAAGAACAACAAGCAAGACACAATAATTAATTCAACCCATACCTTTCCGTGCACTATGTTGCATAAATTCACACACCTAGATATATACAAAAAATAAAAATAAAGTGTACGAACTGACAGACACATTAACCCAGGAAGAAAGTTCAGATATGATAAGAAGTTGGTTAAATATGTACGAGGCCCACATCCATGCCAGCAATGTGATCAACACAATCAGTTGAATCCAACCACTTCCCAACTGGCTTGTCAATAGATTAAAAACACTAATAATGACACCAATATCAAGTCAAACCTTAGAAACCTACACATAAATGACACTTCCTACATAATACATAAAATGGTTGACATTCATTCCATAAAGTTGAAAATGACAATCTATCAACCACAGACACTTCAAAATAGGCGTCATAGCGGGTATCGGACACAGGGACACACCGGGGACCCGCATTTGGCGTGTCCCATTATTTTATTTTTTTATTTTTTTATATATTAAAGGGGGCACGCCAAGGACACAGTAGAGCCACGTTGGGGACACACGGACATGCCAAATGGAGTGTCCCTTTATTTATTCATTTATTTTTACAGAGGACACGGCAGGGACACGCGTGTTCAAATATGAATAATCTATTAATTTGTTTAAATGTAATGGTTTATATACATATTGAATTAATGTTAAATTTTATTAATTTTGATTATTTGGTAACATAATATTAATCTACATAGCAAATATATATAATAAAAATAATAATAATTTGCCGTGTCCCCCGCCGTGTCAGTATCCTCATTTTTTTGAAATCACCGCGTTAGTGTCAGTGTCAATATAGATGACAACCATAACAAATGCTACTCCAAATCCTTCCAAAAAATATTCTAAATCTAAGGACAAGTTAAGGGTTAAAGCATATCAAAATCATGGCAATTTCTAATTCCTTTGTTGACCCACCTGTAGTGATCATTAAACATCAGTTGTACAGATTACATTCTTCACTAGCTCTTAGCCCCAGTATATTGTTATTAAACTAAAAGTCATAACTCATAAGCCTAGCTTTTTATATTCCAAAGTTCAAGACCCAATCAATTAGAATCCCTCAACTTTGCATTTTCTTTTACTCATCACAATTTGGCTACCAGCAGCATGCTTCAAAACACGCATAAGAGCATTTAAACCATGGAAATCAGAAAGATAAATCATATAATTTACTTAGGCCATGATAGGGAACCCTGTACATAAGAACAAAGAAAAAGAAAACACATTTAAAGTTACATGAAGCTTGAGAATGATCTTTAACCAACAAAATCCAACTACTTCAATGACCTACAATTACTTTCATAGATTAATTACCAGGCTACTTTAAATTTTCATCATGACAACTCCTCAACAAATAATCCAACAAGTACATCTCAATGGTAGAGCACATAACATCTTGCTAACATATGAATATGAATACATATCATAAACAGGGAATTCTACAATTTAATTTGTTTGTCATCATACCACTTCCATCACGAAAAACTTGGGAGAAGCACACATCCCCTGCTCGACGCATGTGATCCTGAATGAAAATGTGTGATATAGAAATTTAGTAAATTGGACATAGCATATATAGACTCTCCAATGAAGGGTAAGAACCGAATGAGTGATTTTGTGAATGTATGCTCACGTAAGACCAGTTAAAGCTCCAGCTCACCTTAAGGTCTTGCCAAGAAGCAGAGCTAGGCAATCCGGAGACTAACACTGCACAATGAGATAAATGAGAATCAATTCGCAGATAGAACAGGTGATGCCTGAAAAAATCACATGCATATATCAAATGAAATACAAACCACGATATTCAGAGCGCCTGGACACTCCACCACGGGGACCACGCCCACTGCTGTAACTACTGTAACGATCGATTGATGCTGAATTTCCTCGACCTCCATGTGCAAGCTCCACCTTTACAAACATCAAGAAAGCATATAAGTGTCACAACTACTAACAAGTAGTTGGATGCTACATAGAAATGCCTCATGTGTGACCAACCCGTAGCCGGTGCCCATCAAAATCATAACCATCGCGACCTCTAATAGCATCTTCAGCATCACGAGCCTCTTCAAACTGTAAGAAACATTTTGGAAAATACTGTAGGGTAGAGAATAAAATAACTAATAAAAAGAACAAAACAGCCGTAGACTCACCTCAACAAAAGCATAACCAGGGGGTCTTGGTGGGATTTTCAAATCAATATGGGCTACCGGTCCATACTGCAACATTAACCCAGTTAAATATACGTAAGGCCCACCATTTCACATAAAAGCAAGATACAAAAGTCAGTTCAACTCATCTGGCACCCTTAAACATCTTTCTCAATGTTAATTTCATATGTGAAACTTAACTCATGAATACACTTGTTTATATGCATAGATAGGTTGCAAATTCTGTAACACTGTTGGAGACACGCATATTACTGCATTTATATAATGTATGTAATTATATCAACAACCCAAAAAAAAAAACATTTCATATTCGCTTGAATATAAACAAAAAAGAGATATACTTTGTAAAAGAGATCTTCTACTTCCCGCTCACGAATGTCACCGGGAAGATTGCCAACATAGAGTGTTCTACTTGAGCGGCTCATTGTTCCTGAAAAAACCAATATTAACAATGACAAGAATCAGAAGAAAATCACAACAAAACCTAACCACAAACAAATAAAGAGAACAAAATGGTTATACCCAATTAACAAAATCACAAACAAGACAAAATTCAAGGGATAATTAAAAAAGAAAGAAACAAAATAACACTGAAACCTTAATACAAAACCCTAATCTTGAAATGGCTATCACGATTATCCACATATAAGTGAAAATTGTTGAAAAAAACATTCAAATGACCCTCCACCTTGAGACCTTCGTTATATATACACAGACGACACTGATATCAGTGATGGCATGAACAAAGAATACGAGGTTTTTAACAGTGATAGATACAAGACACTACCTTGGAAAGATTGAAGATCGCGCTGACACAGTGTTAGAGAATTTCCCAACATTTATTTATTAGGGTTTTCAGAATTAGGGAGGGCAGCGTTTGGTTGGTAAATATTTTAGGGTGGGGATAGGGTGTTGTGTGTCGTATGCTATTATGTTGTACCGTGTACGTTTGAGTGGAAATCTAGTGGTTGAAATTGCATCTTGAGCCAATCTGAGTTGGCCTGTACCGGAAGTTACGTCAGCGTACGGTGATTCATGGAAAATGAGTGAGAGTACTAATTAGTGCTTAGACTGATGATTGAGACCTCCTCCAATCACCATTCCACCATCTCCACAGACACGTGACGGGTGATAATTGGAGGAGAAGGAATAACAAAAAAAAAAAAAAAAAAAAGAAGCCGAAAGAAAAAAAAAAAAGTAGCCAATCAGGTGAAGAAGGGGTCAAGGGGTAGGAAAAAAAAGGGAGTTCAAGTCATTATTGTTAGTGCTATCACTAATGATGTGACAGTGGGTTCTACCATGAATAATTTGATGTTTTGGCCTTGGTGTTATATTTTTTTTCTTTTTTATTGAGTGTCATGTAATTAATGATCATTTTAGAACTCCAAAATTAGTGGTCTTTATCATTGTTGGGTGATCCACGCTACGTGGTCCCTCTCATTTGTACTGGAGTTCGTATTTTTTATTATTTTTTTACAATGTTATTTTAAGGGTAAATTATACTTCTATTACAGTTTCCTTATCTTTTAGAAATTATCAATTTTTAATTTTTTTTACAATACCAATTTTACCTTCATTGGGTAAAATTATATTGACACCCCTCACATTTTAAAAATTACAATCCCCTCCCTAAAGTTTAAAGTAGCATTACCAATTACCCCCTCGTTTAGTATTAGTTGGAAAAAAATTCATTGAAAAAAAAATTGTTAGTAAAATTTTTAAATTTTTGTTTAAAAACCAATGTGAACTCATTTTTTGAATTTATGTTTTCTCCTCAAATTTACAAATTGAGACAACTATTTATAAACTAAAAAAATTATTAAACAAGTTTTTATGACAATTTTTAAAATTTTTGTAAATATAGATTGAAAAATAAAAATGAAATGGTTACCAAATAGGTGTCAAATAGTAAAAATGTCATAAAATTAACAAATAATTAAATAAGTTACCAACGTAAGAAATGACTTATCAAAAGATTCTTAGGCTATGTATGGTTTGATTTTTAGAACAAAAATTTAAAAATTAAAAATTAATTTGGTTAAGAAATAAAAAATAAAAAAATATATTTTTTAAACAAAATTTTTTTTAAAATTTTTTTTATTTCTTAACAAAATTAATTTTTAATTTTTAAAAGAAATTTCTAAAAATCAAACTATACATAACCTAAGAATCTTTTGATAAGTCATTTCTTATGTTGGTAACTTATTTAATTATTTGTTAATTTTACGACATTTTTGCCAACTGAAGCATGTTTGGTAACCATTTCGTTTTCAGTTTTTAATTTATATTTACAAAAATTTTAAAAACTGTCATAAAAACTTGTTAGATAATTTTTTTTGTTTATAAATAATTGTCTTAGTTTGTAAATTTGTGGAAAAAACGTAAATTCAAAAAATGAGTTTACGTTGGTTTTTTAACAAAAATTAAAAAGTTTGACTAACAAATTTTTTTTTCAATTAATTTTTTTCTAATGAATTTTTTTTTTCAATGAATTTTTTTTCCAACTAATACTAACTAAGGGGGCGATTGGTAATATTACTTTAAACCTTAGGGAGGGGATTGTAATTTCTAAAATGTGAGGGGTGTCAATGTAAAATTTCTTATGCAAATATAGCATTCAGGGGGGAATTCGTAATTTCTCAAACCTCAGGGGGGTATATGTAATTTAGCCAAACCTCGAGGGGTGTATATGTAATTTGCCCTTTTGTTTATAAATAATTGTCTTAGTTTGTAAATTTGAGGAAAAAACGTAAATTCAAAAAATGAGTTTACGTTGGTTTTTTAACAAAAATTAAAAAGTTTGACTAACAAATTTTTTTTTCAATTAATTTTTTTTCCAACTAATACTAACCAAGGGGGCGATTGGTAATATTACTTTAAACCTTAGGGAGGGGATTATAATTTCTAAAATATGAGGGGTGTCAATATAATTTACCCAATGAAAGTAAAATTGGTATTTAAAAAAATTAAAAGGGCTGAGGGAGGAATCTGTAATGAAACTTTAAACCTTAGGAAGGAGATGTAATTTTCAAAAGGTGAGGAGAAACTGTAATAAATATAAATCTCAAAGGGTGTCAGTGTAATTTACCCTTATTTTAATATTTGTGATTTGATCTCTCTCTCTCTGGAGGAAAATCAATAATGTGGGTTTTTGTGAAATTGTTATTTTAGTAAGCTATTTTAGTTTTTGGTTATTTTAGGAGGTTAAAATTTTTGTGTTTTAAAAGATAATTAGATTTTTTTGTAATTAAATGTGATTTTTGTGAAAGAAAAAGTAAAATGATTATGGATTTGATGTAACATTTTGTCTCATTAACTATTTTAACATATTTTGTCTTTTAGTATTATTTTAGCCAAAAAAAAAACTAAAAAAAGCTCTTCCCCAACACCCCCAATATAAGAACATTTTTAGCCGTGTATTTTTTTTTTATTATTATTAAATGCTATTTTAGAAAGATAGTTAAAAGTCATTTTTTAACATTTAACCTACTTTAGATTATATTATCTCTCTATTTTTTTACACATTTTTTCAAAAAAAAGTCAAAAAAAATAACTTTTAACCATTTTTCCAAAACAACCCTAAATTTAAGTAAAAATTATATTTGATATCAAGTGTTCTAACGGAATATTTTGAACTTTCATCAAAACACTGGACGACCGGATGGATGTCCAGCCGATCAATCGGACAGTGTAATTTTTTTCATAAATTTTTACAAAGAGCTAGTCATCCGGGGACATCTAGGAGACATTCGATGATGAAAATACAACAGTTATGAACAGTGAATTGATGAAAGTTCTCAATCATCCTCAATTTAATAAAAGATTTATTATATTCTCAATTTAGGCCTTGTTTGGGAACCCTCTATTTTAGCTAAAAAGTCAAAAAGTTACTAAATTAGCCAAAAAGCCAACAACTCATACAAAAAAGTCAAAGATTCTCTTTTCTCTCTACTTTTTGCACATCTTTTCGTAATTAGCCAAAAAGTCATCCCAGACAGTGTAATTTTTTTCATAAATTTTTACAAAGAGCTAGTCATCCGGGGACATCTAGGAGACATTCGATGATGAAAATACAACAGTTATAAACAGTGAATTGATGAAAGTTCTCAATCATCCTCAATTTAATAAAAGATTTATTATATTCTCAATTTAATACTCATATGATGAAACTATTAGAGTAGAAGAAAAAAAAAAATTATTAAATTTGAATTTAATAAAAAAATTAATGATACGTTGAAAATGTCTAATTTCTCTCCCCACTATCAACGGTGGCAAATGAAAGAATTTTGTTTCTATTTAATAAATGGATTTAAACAGGCTAGATTGAATTGAAACAGGCTAGATTGAATTGAATGAATAAATCTAACCAATTTTTTTTTAAGACTAGAATAAATTTAATTATTATTGCTTCTTTATTTGTTTTAAGATATTAATCTCTCCCGCTGTGAACCTCCTCGTAAGAGCTCGACTGCACCCCCATTCAGGAAGGGCTTTTCCATTTTTTATTTTTTTCAAAAAAATAATTTTTTATTTAAAAAAATTTAAAATTGATGGTAGAAATGCTACATATTTAGATGGGGTTAAATAGATATTCAGGCCTCGTTTGGCAAGAGGCTATTTTAGCCAATTAGCCAAAAAGTTACTAAATTAGCCAAAAAGCCAACAACCCATACCAAAAAGTCAAAGATTCTCTTTTTTCTCTACTTTTTGCACATCTTTTCGTAATTAGTCAAAAAGTCATCCCAAACATACAAGTTTTTTTTACTTACCTTTTTAGCCAAATAGCCAAAAAGTTACTAAATTAGTCTGTTCCCAAACGAGGCCTCATGTCCAATCAATGTAAACTTAATTTTAATCAGGTTGACAATGAGTTCTTTATTTAAACCAATTTATTAATTTGGGATGGTAATATAGGTTTTAAATGAATATAATCGTTTGGAAATAGGTTTTTTTAATAATTTTTTGGTTTTTTGACTAAAATATGAGGTAAAAAAAACTAGTATGTTTGATATGAATTTTTAATTTTTTATGGAAAAATATACAAAAAGTAAAAAGAAAATGGAATCTTTAACTTTTTAGTATATGTTGTTGGTTTTTTAGTTTTTTTAACTTTTTTGGTTAAAAAAATCAATTGCCAAACTAGGCCTGAGTGGGTTTATAAGTTTATGAGATTATAAATTTTAGTAAGACTGTATTTTGTTCATGAATTTGATAAAGGATTTAGAAAGAGAACAAGTGTGTAAAATGCAATTATATTTCACATCTAGACTTTTTCTTTTTCTTTTTTAAATTCTTTTTCAAATTCATAAACCAAACATAACATCAAGATGTGATGGACAACTAATTTGGCACAACAGCAACACTTCTTAGAGCAAATGAAGTAAATCAAAGCCTTACCATCAATAACACATAAGTGGTGTCCATATGCAAAGAAATGCCATCTTGCACTATCCAAACAAATCCCATTTGGGAGAGACAAAAACAGTGTAATGTAAAACGCCGTGCCAGAACACACAACAAATACAATTGGATTATAAATTTATTATACAAAACAGCGTGTCTCAGTTGACGCTGTTCCTCCAAATACAATTGGATTATAAATTTATTATACAAAACAGCGTGTCTCAGTTGACGCTGTTCCTCCTGTTAATGTAAATTGTAAAAGTAGAACTGCAAAATGAAAATTCACACAGGCCTATCAAGAATCAATAAAAATGTGATTACTGGCAGCGACAAA